TGGTGTGGAATTGCAGAGTTAGAAAAGTTCCAGGATGTGTAGCTAAAATACCTGACTAATGAATGTTTTGTGATTTGGAGGAAAAATAGATCAGCAAGGCAAAAAGGTTGATTGTTGTCACCTGCCTTGTTGTTCTGCTGTAGGCATTTCAAGAAAATGATTTCCATGTTAAATTTTAATTAGAAAACGTTGACTGATTATTCTTAAAAGACAGCATATGTGTCTGGCACCTACAGGATGATACAAGATCTGTTGGTTGAAGGAAATAAAAGCACTTCAGATTTGTTTTAAAAGCATTCTCTGTTTGTGAATGTAATTCAATTATCTTTAGAATTTGCTACACTGTAGCTATAAGGTTATGAACTCTAATAGGAAAATTCTTTAATGAGATGCCATTGGTGTAACAAACAAACAGTTTGTGACGTGGGCTTCAAACAGTGAGCAGGCAAAAAGGAAAAAAAAGCTGTGGAATGGGGAGAGTATTCAGTCAGAGCCCTGTCTAGGTAGAGAGTGAAGTGAGCCATGATGCAGAGTTAAAGGCAAGTGGTGGAACACTGGCAAATGGTCGTGCAGCTTGACTGAAATTAACTGAAAAAAGTCATTCCATGCTCACAAAAGCACTGCAAGAGCTTCACTGCTGTGCAAGGTCAATGTAAACCACACCTCATCTACTTTGACTTCAGGCAGGAGAATTCTGCATCACCCCATTTGCTCTTAGTGAGAATAGTCACAGTTTCCTGAAAGGTGATTAAAAAGGAATTATTTTGAAGAGGTGGAGGTGAAACCTGTTGACTCGTACTTAGAGTCCAGCTGACGAATACTTGGCTGAGCACTGGAGCTGGCAAGCACTTGAGAAGTTATTATGGCTCTGCCATCTGTAAGCACGGTGCTGTGCTGACACATTAAATACTAAAGGAATTTTTTAAAAACAAAATTGCCAGGTGTGAAGCAGTAAAAGTTTTCATTTACGATTTAAAATGTTAAATGCTATTAGCTGTAGTATCTGGAAGATTGCATTTTATTACTGGTTATGGTACTTCTTACTCATGTCATTACAAACTGTAGCTTTCAGCAGAGAAATACCCAAAGGGTTTTCTGCATCCCATCTCCTTCAGATGCATTCTTCATTTGTACAACCAGACAGGAATCCAGTATGATGAAATCTGTATGAATTTTTACCATTCCCTCTTGCTGAACCTACTTTAATACTCTGTTGAGGTGCTCCTTGAGCTCTCCTAATTGTGCTATTGGTCCAAGCCTGCAGTTTGTACTTAAATCATTTCCTTGGTCCTTGCTAGGATGTGTCTCTCTTGTAATGGAGTAACTTTGGGATACATTTGTTCTGTGTCATGGAGACCCGATCCTGACACGAGGGAACTACTGGGCACTGAAACTTTGGAGGCAAGACTTTTGAGACTTAGTTTCTATTGAAAGTAAGGTGATAAAGACAGAGACAAGCAAAACACCTCAGTTCTTCCTCTTTTCCTTGACATTCCTACAATTTTAGTTATCCAGGAAAGAAGCAGAGGACCCTGGAGTGTTAGGATTCCATGTAACACTGTAAACTAAGAGCTGAAAGTTCTTACTGAGGTTTTACTTTACCATGAGACTGACAATTCATCATTCACAGGAATGAAAACTTTCTGATATTCTTGCAGGGAATGTGCTGTGCATTTCATTGACCTTCTAGATTTTCACTGTTATTTATAGATAACAAAAGTCCCAGGGGGGAGGGGAGAAAGGCTACAATCTTTGATTTGGAATAAAACCAGAGGGAATATAGTCAATATAATTTTTGTTGGCAGATATGCTTAATGGTTTATAACTACCAAAGAAATTAAGTAATTAGCTGTACTGTTTGGGTATGTTTGAAATCAAGAATATATATATATTGACAAAACCCACCCACCTTAGCTCAGCTCTAATTTATGCGTAGGATATGCAGTGTAGGAGTAAATTATAGAATAATTCACTTAAATAATGTATTATTCCCTCCAATTAATTTGTGACTTAAATAATCAACCTGATGTCTGAAATATGTATGAATACTAGTGACTGGCTGCAAACTGCACATTGCTCAGGACAGTTAGAAATCTGCCTGCAGCAGACCCAAGAGTAGGCCGAGAAATACTGAACCTATGAAAGTAATGGGACTTCCCTGCCAAAATAACATTTCCATTTTTGTATAATCCCTTGCTACCAGAGAAACTGATGAAAGTCAAACCCAGCTGGAAAGTAGCTGGGAGGTAGAAATGCCGCAGTGAAAGTTTGGAACAATTTGCAGAATCCCTGAAGGCAGAGCGAGGTCAAAGCAGGTCTTATTCCCTCAGTACTGCTTCAACATCATAGAACACTTGCAATTATTTTGTGATCAAACCCCATTGATTGTGTTTTGGTCTCAAGCCAGACTGCAAATTGGAAGGGTCCTGTACTGCATTTCCATGCGATCCTGTTCCTCTGCTTGCTGATTTGCAGAAGAGGATATCTACTGATTTCCCCAAAGAAAACCTTATCACCGGGAGTTTTGTGGGTCCTTCACTGCACAGCAGAGATGTTGATGTATCAGAGTACCAACCAGAATGTTAACAAGGGCTGTAATGCATTGGGGAGAACTGAAGAATGTGGCTCACATTGGATAACAAGTGCTGGTCCTCTGCATCTGCTGGGATTTGGATTCGGGGAAGAGGCTCTGAACTAAGAGAGGCTGGATGCCAGGCACCTAAACTGCTCTTTTAATTAAGTCTAGTTATGAAATGATATGTACTTGGCAACAACAATATCTGCTAATTGTAACTACTTGTTCTGAATTTGTTTCTCAGTTGAATTACACAGGAACTAAATGTTCCCCTCGACATATTTTTTCCCTCCCTAATAACGCAATGAATCACGAAGGATATTTTCTATGAAAGCTGCTTCTGGCCTGGCCCAGCTATCAGGAGAAATTCAGTTACATGTGGGCATGTATGGCATGGTGCTGATTGTGGCAAAAATACCAGCACTTGCTTCACTGTTAAATATTGGTGATATTCTTCTGTTTCTTTTCTTTGAAGGTTGGAGTGCTGTGATATAGGGGGCAGAATTATGCCCATAAACACCCACAGCCCCCATCACAGAACCTGTTGGACATTTGGGTGGTAGGGCATTTGTGCAGTGAAAGCCCCTGTATTTTTCCAGCTATCTGTGTGCTGAGAGAAATGTGCTTGGGTTAACTCTCTGTGGGACTGTGTTGAACTGACTCCTGAACTAGCAAGAAAACTGTTAATTAAGAAAAGTAAATCAATTCTATTACCTAACTGCTTGTATTTCCGAAGAGCGGGTCGGTGCTTCAGGGGATAAATGTCTTTCAGGGCTGTTCTGCAGCAGGGTATGTAACTCTCACGGGAGTCACTGAGCAGCAGCAAGCACTGCCTCAGACATGGGGTGTGATGGGCATTGTGGCAGTGTGCAGTGGCTGTTCATAAGGAGCTGGAATGGTGGTAGAGAAATACAGAGTCAGATGCAGGTGGCATTGCAGACCCTGGAGGTCTGGGTCGTGGTACACATCAGGGAGGTCTGAGTAGTCCTGCTACAGAGAATTGCTGGCAAAATTTAAAGTTAAACAAGAAAATAAAATGTAAAAATCAGGTGGATTTATGCATGAAACAGAGGGAATTCCCCGCTGTGTGGCAAATATAAATTCCTGCCATCTAGTATTAACTTGCTGCAGTTGTGCTGGAACATCCCATCCATAATGCACTAGAGTTTCTCTGCTTTAGATCAGAGTCAATAGCAGGATAAACCCAGGAGATTAATGAGTCACATGATCCAAACTGTGCCAACAACTGTGTTTTTCTGCACTTAAGCTATAAAGCACATTGAGGGGAGCCTCTGAAAACTGAAGCTCCCTAATGCCTCCATGGAGTTGCATAACTCTGCTGCTGTCTGTGTGTGCGTCCGTGTGGGACACTGCAGGATCCCCTGGGATGTGAGCTGCTCTGCCTGAGAATGGCACGGGCTGAGAATGGAGCCCAGGGATCACTTCATGAGGCCTTGCTCCACGACAATGTCATGGCACTGTGGTAGGATTTAAGAAATGGAAAAATAAAAGCTGAAAATCAGATTGAAAAATTAATTTAGGCCTTGATTCACCTCGGTACTTAAATACGTGCCTGATGTCCAGTGAGTCAAGGTTCTGCACATCTGCTTACAAACCAAGGACCCATGAGCTGATGTTTGTGCAGACTTGACCTTGTCTTGGTGGAAGTTTCCACTAACTGCATTCACAGCTTCTAAAAGGTTGAATAATAGAAGATCATCTGGAATATCCCATTTTTGACCTCTGTATAGTCCTGCTGTTTTCTTCTGGCTAAACCTGGATCTGCCAAGAGGGACATCTCCCATTTACATTAGGAAATCATTCCCACTGCCTTTAGCAATCATTCCTGTCATTTTTTGCCATTTATATCTTTGAATACTTCTAAGCTCTTGTTATTTTCAACATTTTTTTCTGGGAAAGCCATCAGCATTCAACAACAACAAAACACCATCTCACATGTTCAATAAGTTTTTTTATTATTTTTTTTAAATAAGTATACGAAAAAAAGTTTGAAAAGTTCTCCTGTCTAGTATGAAATGTTTACAGTTCTCAGACTGCAATTGCATTTCAAGCAAATTCTCTTGCAAACACGATGTATCTTACAACCGCAGTGCAACTTGTTGTTTAGAGACAGATCATCTGACTACAGGCAAACTTGGAAAGCTTTCACATGTAGAGCTTTTATTTTAGCTTGTTAGTGGTCTTAGATAGAGAACTCTGATTTATTGAGGCTTCTAAAGTATGCCTGGATGATGAGCATTGTATAAATAACACAGGTATGTAGCCCTGAAAAAATCCTTCCTAATGCTTGGCTCAAGGTGTTGCAAAGAACATCGGAAACTCAAAGGCAAATAAAATAACAAATGTCTTTGTGCCAACAGAAGCTGTTTAGTTTGCTCTGCGTTCAATATTAGGTATTCAGCAAGATACGTAACTGGCAGAGACAAAGCTGAATCTTATCATTAGTCCTATTGAATGAATATTTGTTAATGAATAAGCTTTTGACTTTTGACATTCTCAAAACCTCCACCTCTGCCGTGACGTGCTGGAGCCAGCTGCATTGGCTTGTGCTGCGTTGTTATACATCTCCTGGCAGAGAAAAATAGCGGCGTAACGTATTTTGTTGCTTTGCTTTGTGTGTTATGTTGACATACACGTGTATCCTATTCTTGGGAATGCTTTAGAGCTAGGCTTAGTTCCCTGTGTAAATGTATTTGATGGGTGATACTGGCTCCTCCAGGATCAAGCTGTCTGTCTCATTGAAGGTGTCACTTTCACCAGAGTGATTGGCATTTTGAACTCGGTTCATCCGAGACTGCAGGCGTTCATGTTCCTTCCTCAGCTCCGAGTAGGAATGGGAGAAAGTGTGGAATATTGATGTTGCAGGAAAGGACATGATGAGAATGCCACTGAGGATGCTGCTCAGAGCCACCATCTGACCTGGGACGCTCCGTGGCACCATGTCTCCGTACCCCACGGTGGTCATGGAGATGATGGCCCACCAGTAAGAGGCAGGTATGCTCGTGAATTCCAGTACCTTGCCGGATTCGTTCTCAGCAAGATAAACCAAAGGAGAAAACAGAGTGACAGCCACACAGAGGAAGAGTAGGAGCAGGCCGAATTCTCGTGTGCACCTGCGAACGGTGAGGCCCAAGGTCTGCAGGCCCAAGGAGTGCCGGGCAAGGCGCATGACATACAAGATCCTCAAGGCACGTAAAACACGTAGCACCAACCCAACCTTCTCCAAATAAGTGTTGCTGCTTGGCCTGTCATCCGTTTCACTTGAGTCATCCTCTGCCAAGATGAGGGAAACATAATAGGGTGAAATAGCCAAGAAATCAATGATGTTTAGGGGCCCTTTGAAGAACTGACACTTGCTCCTTGCTTGAATGAATCGGAGGCAGAACTCCAGAGAAAACCAAGCCACGCAGATGGTCTCTATGACGAAGATGTAATAGCACTTCTGGGAACACTCACCCTGACACACACAAAGAAAAGAGAATTAAATAAAAGAACAGTTTGCAAACCAGCATATAAAACATTAGAGGAGCAGAAATGTTTATCAATTCAAGTCACCAGTATCAGAAATAACCAAATCCCAGCTAGCAGGTAGCTGTTTTTCAATGGCATATGGGGGGTACTAAGCATATGAAATGTCCAGATGAGGAGATGTACTGCGTGCTTGTTTTATTTGCTTCTTCAAAATGAATGAAGCTCTTCTGTGAGTCTGAGAAAGGCTCAACTCTCCCTAAAGTCTGCACACACAGCCGTAAGTTCCAAATCAGTCCAACTTCCAGCTCTCAAAAAACATATATTTGAACTTGACTGATTTATAAGTCTGCACAAAAATCAGTGTGTCTTCAAAAGAAAGATTAATGCTTGAATGTCTGCAAACTTCTGGTGCTGTTTAATGCGTGGTGCTTTTGCAAATGTTATATACTCTGGTGCAATTAAAAGTGGCTCAGAGTTGTTCATTAAGTCATCTGGATCTTTGGCTCAGTTACATCATATACAAATCATGTTTCTTTCTATATGAACAAATATTGTATAGCTCCAATCTGGAAGAAAATAAATACCCCTCCAGTAGGCAAAACGTGCCTTGAAGACTCCTCTCCCTGTATTAAGACCCCCATGCTGTGAGCAGTGCTTTCCCTGTGTTTGTTATCAGAGGAATTGCTTTTTACTTCCTCACAATCACTTTTTTTTTTTTTTTTAATTTTCCTGAGCTTAAAAAATGAAATTGCTTTTGGTCTGTTGCAGTGAAATGAGGAGGAAAATGTAAATTAATTCCTGATTATTTTGGTAAACAAGAGAATACAGGAGCAGTTCCTGAAACAGTATTATCCATTCTCAGCCACATTTCACAAGCAGTATTGATTACAAGCTCTGCGGGAAACACATACCCCTATTACTAATTAAACTTGTCCCAGTGTTCAGTTACACTCTGCATTACAATGTGATGTTTTTTAAGAGCATCCCGTTGCATTGAATTACAGCTTGGGAGAGAGCAGCTCTCTTTGTTCAGGAGTTGTTTATATCCTGTAGCTCTGGCATTCTCACATGTTACAATCATTGGCTGAGACTCCTCAAAGAAAACTGTGATGCACCCTGTATGTTATTGTTATTATTGTTGTTATTTTACCTGGCTTAGCCTTCAGAACAGCGTAGCTCTGTAGCACTCCTTGGGGATTTCCATCTTTCTGCACAGTAGAATGTCAAAATCATAATTTTTCACTTAAAAATAATCTCAGAGACTCAGTCCTGCTACAGTCATGTGTGGGTGATGAGGTTTAGCCCTGTTTGAAGCCATTGCCCTGACAGAGCCCGGAGTGCTGAGCTGTTCGCGTTGTTGCTGACTTGGCTTGATAGGATTGCCTGTGATCAGCAGTTGTGCTATGAGGTGCTCACTTTGGCTCAGCTCTGAGTTGCTCGTACAGTGCAGCCTGCACTCTGCACACACCCACCTCTGGTCACACTACTGAATTATTCATCATTACCATCAAGATTTATTTTACCTTTTGTTAACTGGGCTGAATTTCCACTACATCTGCTACTTATCCACCTTTACACATCTACAGAGACACTGCTTTCAGATCATTGTGTAGCTTTCCCTATTCCTTCCTTCGAAAATGCAAGAAAAAAAATTGTTTGCTGGGAATTTTAACTGTTAAGATCTAGGACTAAATCTAGATCTGAACTAAACATGCAGTGTCACAGTGCAGCATGGTAAGAGCTGGTTAGGAGCTTTATTCTCTCCATCCTCAGTTATTTATGTATAGAGAAGGCAATTTGTGCAATCAGCTTCCCAAAGGCATGTTTGTTTTTCAGCAGAACATCCTTCAAAGCAAATTTTTCATGAACATTGATGTGCATTTTATTTTCCTTTTGTGCACAGTTGTGGATGTAAAGGATGGTGAGTTCTCCCCTGTTAGCATGCTTTGTCTTTTTTATATGCTTTGCAAAAGACACTTGAGAAATATATATGTAGAAGTGTATGATTCAAATCATCTGTTGGTCTCTTTTTCTGCTGAGGAAACCAGGAGTTACAGTACGGTATCACAGTCTCTGACACTGACTAATGCAGTGAATTCTTGGCTTCGTGTTTTTTTGGTTGCTTTTTTGTTTTTTTTTGGAAGATGGAAGAAGAAAGATATGTTTGCTTCAGAAATGCCTACATGGTATGAAGGCACGCTGCAAAACCAGCCCTGTTTATTTCAGAGGGAACTGATTTATCCATGCAGTACAGTAGTTCTATATGGAAGTAACTCATTCAAGCACTGTAAATAAGACAGCTGGGCTATCATCTCCCACCAGCACTATTTCACTCCATTACACGTTGTAGCCATACCATTAGTTAGTCAATCTCTATACAACATCTGACACAAACGTTTCATACCTCGGCCTCTCTATTGCCAGAGTCTGGAAAGAGACTGGAAGACCCAGGGTCTGTAGGATTTGATGAGAACAGGCTCACCGATGTCACACGGGGAGATAAATTTTATCCAGTATACTTGTATGAGAATACCTGCATTTATTGTGTGTTACGTGTGAGATGGTTTATATGGAATATCCCTAACACAAGTAATGTTGAAGATTCTTGATCGTTTTGAATATCCCATTCAGAAGTAGCAAATGTTGGGACAGTAAGACGGGGAGATAGACTAAATACCAAGGCCAGTTTCTGTTTCTCCGGTATTTTAGATAATTTCAGACCTCAGAGTGCTCTGTGTTCCATTTTATTGTCCAAAAAGCTGGTGGAATAACACAGTGATTTCAGCTACCATATTCTTTCCAGAATACTTGTACTTGTGTGTCAGTGGTAGATCTCACGTTTGCAGTTGTTGCCAGCTTCCCTTTGGACGTTAACTCCTTCCGGTGAACTGTCAACTTGCAGGCCGAATATTCTGATCCATGAGGGGTGTTTTGCATAAATGGCCAATAAGGGAGTTTCTGTGGCACAACAGCTTCTATATCTCGCCTCTCACTGAACAAAGCAAACATATTTGGGAAATTCTCGTGATCAATGACTGCAGAGCAGAACAAGAACATTCCTCTGTTTCTCTAAGCATTAACCAGAGCACAATTCTGGGCTATTATTTTCATATCAAATTTATCACTGACTTCTTTCTTCTTCTGTATCATGGTATAATAGAACTTACAAAAGCTCCAGACTAATGCAGCACTGACCATAAGTGTGAGGGAAAGATGAGCTTTTATTTATAACTGGACACAAATTGGTTTGGGGTAGGATTTTTCAACACAACCTGAGATGCTTTGCACTATTGTAGCATCAGCCAGCACTGACTGTCACGGACTCTGATGGGAGATCAGTTAGAACAAAGCTAGCAGTCTGAGTATCCAACGCTTCATACAGCCTGCAGATTTACTTCTGAGCAATGCAAGAATTTATCAGGATTTATGGAACGTGTCTCCAGCTGAAATTCTACAACGTATGGCATAAATGTAATAAAAAGAGTGCCTGGTATTGATCATTTGTATGAAAAGAACATTAGGTTCAGCAATGAAGGACACAATGATTTGTATGTAACAAGCTATATATCGAGCCTGATGGCTGAAATATTGAATGATTTCTTAGATTTATAAACCACCTCAAAGAGGTAAAGTGGCCATTTCAAAGTTCTTTAGCACCCAAGATAATAAGCAATTCATAGTTCCTTTTCATTATTGCTTTCTGCTGTATAAGGTAATGGTTCATTTTTGGGGGCTCTATTTACTGGGATGTTTATAATAATACAGTGAAAATGCTCATTTTAGGATGCTTTTACTAAAGCCTCTTTAGATATGAAAGAAAAAAAAAAGGCTGATAATAAAAAATAAGAATAGTTGTGCTGAGTCTCATCAGCCCAGTGCCCATCCTGACAGCCTGAGAAACAGAAGCTTAAGCAAAATGGATCTCTGTAGAAACAGTGAGAGAAAGAACTACCACTAATAGTGGAGAACATCGGGGTTCCAGAAAGCTTTACTGCAGCCTTCATGCAGTGCCTTCTTTTGATAGGATCAGAGGTTCAGGAATTCAGCACCCTCTGATGCCAGGGTGATGCGTGGCAGCTAAATCTCAATTGCACAGGTGACTTTACAGGAGTGAAATTTATTCCCCAACTGTGAATTCAAGTTAAATAAGCTTGAGATATGTGCCACTCACTAGATAAGATAAATAATATAAATTTCCAGCTAATTGCCCTCTTAGTTGACCAGGAAACATTAGTTACAGCATAATGACATCTAGGACAGTAAATAAAACCAGATCTCAAAATTATGCAGCACTATCATATTTTACAACAGACATAAATCTCATCTTGTGAAAATAATGTCTGTACATGCACCAATAATGGTAGCAGTGCCCAGACAGAGTGGCATTGCTCCCTTGTGGAATAAATACCTCGTCCACCCACCTTGGTTTTCAGATGCATTGTACTTGGTTGCACTTTATAGACAAGAAAAAAAAGTTATTACTATAAACTCATTTATATATAACTAGATGAGAGCTGTTCTCATGCCCTCAGGACCTGCTCTGCACTGGCCATTTGTGACCCACTTGGTTGCAATCTGAAGCATCTTATAATTAAAATATGCTAGGGAAAACCTGTTCTGAATCATGACCTGATCACCAGTTAATTTCCTACCATTGAAGATATACCCCAGTACCTTCTGAAGTGGATGTTTACCCTTTAATCCACTGCAAGGTATTTTTAAATAAATGCTGAAGCAAATACAAAGCAGTGAGAATGTATATTTTGGACATTGCACCTCACCAGTATTGGTTGGAACAGATCCATTCTTTGTAGTCCTCTGTAGAGCACCATGGAAATGAGTGGCGTGATGTAGATTGTGAGGTAATGGCTGCCAGCTTACCAGCAAGCAGTATTTGGTAGGTTTCTGAACAGCAGTGTTGTGCACCCAACTGCTTATGTTGTGGCCGTGGTACCAACTTTCTGTCCTTCCTGTGGATGACTCTCA